TAATCTGAATAAATTTTTGGGTCTTTGCACTGACGACATACAATACTTGTCAGTTTGGAAGTATTGTGCTCGTGGAAGCCTAAAAGTAATTAGTTTAAATCACTCATATAAACCTTTAAATACCTAGAATAAATCTAGTCACTCAGCTCTTGTTTTTTGAAAACAAACCAAAATTAGTTCACAGATTATATACTGTTGTCAGCATTTGAAACATGGATTATTTAGTTTGAAACATCTTTTTGCAGACACTATATTTAAAAAAAACTTGTTTATTAATGACTCTAAGAAAATATTAAAAACATGAACGTTAACTGATCTCTTTGTTTTAATGATTATTCTAGCAGTTTTTTTTAAATTGAAGAACGTTATCGAAAAAGGAGGCTTCAATATCGACGCTTTTTTCATGCTCTGTATAATGAGAGATATAATTGGAGTAAGTTATTTTTACAACAATTATCACCTTTTTTTTCTGAAACCTTCTAGCAAATTATTTATATAACAAACAGCCATCAGCTTTTGCAATAATTTGCCAAAGTTTAGTAGCAAAAGCTTGATAAACACTGATTAAAAGCAAGTGGCAAAAAAAAAACACAGCTTTGTCTATTTGCCAATAATTATGTATTAGCCGCTAATACAACCAATTTTTTGGGCTTTTAATGTTATAGCTGTTCAGCAAAAAGAACTTCTTTACTAAAACTATGACAATTTAAAAAGAAGAGAAAAGTAAAAACGGATTCGAGAAGTTTTCCTGAGCAATTAGTCACAATTTGATGTTGATAATTGTTAGGGAATTTCATGGATTCATTCATCACCAATTGACTTTCATGGCTTCTTAACGTCAGCTTGCTGCTTGGTCAATGAACGTTGGCAAGTTAAAATTAACGACTATGGACTTCGTTTTTTAAAAGTCTACGAAATAAGGCCACAAAAAGGTTCGTTAATTTAGAAAAAAAATATGTTTTTACGGTAGAGAAAAACTGAACAAAACAAGGTTGTTTTTTTTGGGGGGGGGTAAAATTAATACGAAAAAAAAATTTAGTGTTACTTTGGACAGCACCAGAAGTTCTTCGAGAAAACAATAACGTCGGGTCAAAAGATGGTGACATCTACAGTTTTGCAATTATATGCTCCGAAATAATCACCAAAAAACTAGCATTTGATTATCCAAATCGTGAAGAATCACTTGAAGGTTATTTTTTTGCTACATATTTTTTATATGTAGACCTGCGTTTGCTATAATTTTACTGCAGACAGCTTCCATAAATTAAATTATATCGTTAATCCTTATATTTTTGTTATCTTTTTAATTTTTAAAAAACTATACATATAACCTCTAAAAAAAAATAAAAAAATTTTTTTGTTGCAGAACTTATTTTCAAGATAAAACGAAAAGGTCCAAAACCGTTTCGCCCACAACTTACAGCCGAAAGTACCCGAGAAATTAATCCTTCAGTGGTTAATCCTCTTTTTACACCAATTTTTTTAATACTACATCCTAAAATTGTTGTCATTCTCTTCGTCTACAATAGTTTTTTCAAATTTTTGTGCGTAATTTTTGACTAAAAATACTTCACTTTTTTTTGAACTTTATGCAAACTTATTTTAAAAATAAAAGCACTAAATTTATTGATCAAGAAGTAAATTATCGAAACTTCAAAAAATTTTTTATATTATTATTCTTCTTATTTTTTTTTTAAATGTTGAGAAAATATTCAATTGAGAAGACCTTTGTCAAGATTTATCATAAAAATATAAATTATCTTCTACTTCAAATAGAAAAAAAATCTTTTTCTCATATTTTTATCTTTATTCAATTGACCAAAACAGTTTTTTCTGTTGAGCTAACGTTTGTACTTAATTTGTAAAATTCAGATAGCTCAAACAAAAATTGGCCTTTTTTAAATGTACCTTTTTTGTACATATTTTAAACAAAATCACTTATAGGTAGGTAGTTTTTCTAGATTGAGCATTACATAAGAAAGTAAAAGTTTGATAACTCCAAAAAAAGGTGAAGTATTATTGAAAACATTTAGGGCTTTTCCTTCACATGAATTTTATCATTTAATATTCTTGTTTCATCTATTTTTCAAAAAAAACTTCATAACTATTGCTAGTCGACCCGATATCATTTGAAATCAAATTGATTTTTTTAATTACACATATAACCCATCAAAAAGACAACCGTGCTGAAAAA